TCAATATATTTATTGTCTTTGTTTAAATTAAAAATGACGATATGCTTGTCTCCCTTTTTGATGTTCCAATGAAGAGCAAAATGGCTCACCCAAACCCACCTCTTTCGTTTCATCTACTTTCATCTTTCTCTTTTAGGTCATAGATTGACAATGCATCATAAACGAAAAAACTTCATATTATTTCGACATTAAACATGGCAACAACTAGGAATTATAATCAAATACGGCTTCGCCTAACTTATTCCCTACGTCATTAAAAGTAAAATCTAAGTTGGAAGGGTTTCCAATTCCCTACCGAACACTCCCAAGTTTATTTCACTAACTTTACGGTTCGAATATAGATTATCGAATGTCAAAAACTTTTGTATCTCTGGAATATTCGATAGAACAAGTCAATAAATAACATGTTTTAATTTTCGTTTAGTATTATCAAGACTGTATTAAAACGTTTTTTTAAAATAATTTGCGCTTATTTTTTCCAAATTTTTCAAGTTACTTACTTAACTCGTGTTAAGATTAAACATAGAATATATAATATGTTTTCTATCGATACTAATTTTAATTCGTATTCCTAGGAAGATAGGTTCGTATAAGGGCACATTAAAAGCATAAATGATCTAACAAAACCAAATATTTATAGACAGTATAGAGAGATTTATAAATAACATAACGCGTTATTTTGAACAAATATAGAATAAGCAAATAAGTTTATTGATTTTAATAAGTTAAAAGAGCGAAGTAAATAAATATAGGAAAAGCGTAGGACGAGTATAGCATAACTTAATTCACCATTTAAGTTTCGAAATTTATTTAAATTTACGGCTGAGAACATAATTTCGGGGTGCTAATTAGAATCGGCCGTTGGCACCAAGATCGTGCCCTGAGGTACTGCTTGTAATTTATTTACTTCATATCACAGTATTAATTGATTCATTATTTTTTTTGTTATTTGGCTAAGTAAAATCGCTTATTTCAATTAATCTTTCTTTCAAATTAAAGATTTTATACGTGTACAGCCTGTGTTATATAAATTCCATGTATCCATATGTTTGTCCTATGGTAAGAAGACAATAACAATTCCAGAATCTAAGGTATCACTGAGTTATTTTCTAAAACCCGAAAAAGAAACGGTAGTATTATGCCCGACTTAAATCAAACCCGGCGTGAAACAACACAGCGTTGTGTTTCACTGGGTAAGCGAGGTTACCGGCCCAAATCTTCCTCTCCCTCAACGCTCCTCAATACTATACATTTCCGGAACCTTAATTTTTAAAAAGCTAGTAACGCATTCAAAACTCCTCTGGTGATGCGAGAAAGCTAGCAATGCACTCGTAACTCTCGTGTTGTGGGTGTCCATGGGCAGCCCTAATTGCTTACCGACAGGTAATCCGTGTGCTCGTTTGCCAACTTATTAGAAAAAAAAACCCGTAAGCCCTTTCCCGTCAGTCACATTGGCAACCACTTGCAAAGTTAATCTCAGTCTGGAAATAAAAAATATCATATTATTGTAAATTGAATGTTTCACCGCGCTAGTATGTTTTCCTGTGTCGTAAGATGCATTTACAAACATACAATTTCACATACACATGACACTCAGACTAGGAACAACAATTTGTAAATTGATTAGTTTACAGTTAACATAATATAATCCCTCGGGTGTTAACGTGAAAAGTAAGGCTAGACGTTTCGACCTTGTTGCATAGGTCGTGGTTGCAAGCAGACTGTGGGTGCGATGTCACACCTCCCTGCATTCGGCCGGTAAATCTTCATGACTCACTTAAATACTTTTCACGTTAATACCCGCGTAGTTATGCTATGTGAAAGTTAGTTGTACAGTTGCCCAGCCACTGAGCCAACCGTGCAATCAAAATATTAATATCAATGTATGTATACTATTATTTCCCAATTTATTATGAGTATGACATTTAATACAAATTTTAGTTACCTTTTAGAATACCAGTGTGCGGGTTATCTTTCAGTTAATGAACTAAAACTGGGTATATTAAAGTTAACTGTAATTGTCGGTCGTGTAGCTCCATCCGTAACATCGTAAAACGTTAGTGGTGGTGTCAATTTGACTCTTCGCGCGCTAACTGAGCCATGTAGCCATTTAGTGCCGTGGGGATCTGTAAATGTGGGCTAATGATAATAATAGCCTTGGTCTTGTTAGGTTTATAATAGTTGTATAACTATTTCAAGTTCCTTCAGATTATACACTTGATGTTATAAAATAACTACAGACATGCAAAATTATAAAGGTTATTATCGAAACAGTTTTATTATCAGAAACGCTAAGAAGTGTGGGAGAGCCATGCTTCGGCTCGAAAGAGATTCCATTTAGAGAAAACCGGCGGGACGCAACTACAGCGTTGTGTTTCGCCGTGTGTTAGTTTACCTGAGTCCCAATCCTTCTTTTTCCTCAATCCCTAAATCCCAAAACTCATGCGGTAATCCGTCTGCTAGTTTGCCGTCCTATCACATAAAAGAAAGAGTGGAATTCCTTTCTTAACCTGGGTATCATCGAGGGCCGAGTAAATAAATATATTGGTTATGGATAGGCGTGCTATATTGTAGACATATACATACATAAATCCAAGAGTAACCAAGCGTGACAGCAGCCAAATGCCTGCCCATTTTTAACTAAAAAGTAAAACATGCCATAACTCAAAGACGATGGTAGAAATATAAAGGCCATTATTTCATAGACCAATATACGTTCCAAGTCAGGCATTTTTTCACGCGATTTATTGTGTTCATAATTTGGGTAATCCATCAGTACTGGAATTATATTAATGACATTCAGAGCAACGACAGTACGGTAGAAAGGAGAGTTCAAGGTTTTCTATTGAAAGGTTGAACAGAACGCGACTTGAATTTAAAATGGTTTTTATTTTTGAAAGTTCTATTTGTGGTTATTACTAAAAGTAATCCGATTTATTATTTTGTTTTTGTACACTGAAAATACAATAAATTGTCAAGTAAAAATGTCCTGTTTTTTCCGTCCATAATCACCTAAGCTTTAGGTCATTATCGACTTTATAATAATGAACTCGCGTTCAGCTGGTAATTGCTATGTTAAAAAACTCAGAACATATTACGCAAGCTCGGATGAGAGCTGTAATGGGCTATTTAAAAAGTTTATTGTTTGAGGTACGTGTTGGTAATGACTTGCATGCTATGCTGGCTCCAATTACTGGCGTGTAGCACTCGCAATCTGCGAAGCTCACATTTTTCGGATTTTTCATTCCACGTTACTTCGAATTCGAATATTTCAACAGTAATGTTTTCGCGTGCCTATTTACGTAAATATTACTTCATTTACATAATCCTGACTTTGTTGGTGAGTTACAATATTGAACGGTCCCTTTCAATGAACGTCGGTTTTTCTTAGTGAAAGCTTAAATTAAATTGTTGGCGTTTCGATTTCTGGTGGTAAACGAGATTTTGAACTGAATCAGTGTTTTCGGTACTTTTCCTATTTATTAGGACATGTTTTGTAGGTTACAAATTCTATTCCATCTTAACGAAAACTGTTTATAAATGATAATAGTGTGTGTCCTACACAGAACAATTCTTGGTGTGAGCTACAAACTGTTGTTCTGGTTGCAGGTGTGAGGCACTTATTATTAAAATTGTATGTCTGTGAATGCACAAATTACACAAAAGAAATCCAGGTATGGGGCGGCCAAGTGTGAAATTTGAGTAAAATTATTATGTTATTTATCCATTTTCATATTAACATTGTTTTTGAAAGTTACACAATACATAAATGATACTAATAAAACAAACACACAACAATAAAACCAACAATTTAACATACAACAATATAACAACAATTGATTGCACGGTTGGTGCGGTGGCTGGGCAACTGGCAGCCGTGCCGCGTGTCGCGGGTTCGATTCCCGCACGGAACAACTCTTTGTGTGATCCACAAATTGTTGTTGCGGGTCTGGGTGTCATGTGTATGTGAAATTGTATGTTTGTAACCGCACCCACGACACAGGAGAAAATACTAATGTGAGGGGCAACGTTTAAAAAAATAATAATACGATGAACAAGGGTATCAATATGTAATTAAAATTCACACATTTAAATTGAAATATACAACATACCAATAATAATTAAAGAATCATAATCGAATACCATTTTTTTGTTTCATATTATAATACGTGTTATGAAATTTATTCTATATCAGTCGTGTTCCCAATCTGCTACTTAAACGTAACGATACGACCCACAACTAGCGTTATACAATCTTCAGTGTTTCACGTTCATGTTTCTAGAAACTACTTGGTTTTATTTTAAACTTTGTTCTCAGTTCTCGAAGGACAAATCTCCGTTCTGGGCGGAATAACATAAGTGCTTAGTACCGTTTCAAACGACATCTGTGTTACGACAACTGTTTGCTATATTACGAAGCATAAAATTTTTCAGCTTTTCTCTGTAAACACTTAAGAATTGGAAAGGGATTGCGTCTCCGGCATCCTCACTTATGCAGCGAAACACAACGCTTTGGTTGTTTCACGGCGGTTTTCTGTGTGTCTTACCATTGTATATAAAATTTTGCAGTCAAAAAGTATGGAAACGATATAGGTATTATTAAGGTTTACGCAATATCTAGATTTCTGTCTCCCTTCCCCGGAGTCAAGTACTAAGTAATATTTTCTTAGGTCTGCGACATTTCCAATTTCGTAAAGTGCTCGTACAATATTAGGTTTTGTTCCCAAGAACACGCACCAATAACTCAATTAATCGTCCGTTACAAATGTGAACAATTCAAGCCAAAATATTGTTTACCTGATATTAATTACCTAATTAACGTTACACCTATAAAACCTTTTACGTTACAATGGGCAAACCCTTGTACTAACTATAACCGTAGCATGTCCAGTTCAGTGATTCATTGGTCAAGCGACCGCACTCAAAGGGGCAAATAAGGAAAACGTGAAGCCTCATATAAAATGAAGTTAATTTTAAATGAATTTTCATTTTTGTTGCAGGACTTGAAAAGGAAGGAGGGGGAAATAAAAGAGAAGATTATATAAAAGGTATGTCTACTTTTTTCTGTAAAAAATTTGAGAAGTGCGTGTTGAAAGGTCGTTAGTACGGCTCTACAGTTTCGGAAATGAAAATGCTGATGAATTCTGAATGCTGTGGGTCTGCTCAATTTTAGTGAGATTAATTAGTATTTCTTTTTGGTCGGGCGTCAAACCTTATGTTCATTAGCGCTTAAACAATCTAAGTAGGTACACTTTGACGACTACTACAAAGAAAGATAAAACACAAATAAATAAAAAATACATAAGACCCAAAGACTACTTAATTACAAATTTTAAACAAAAGCAATATTTGTAATCAAATGTAGTAACTTGTAAACTAGACCACATAATTTACATTTGCGGGTATTAAAATATACAAAGGCCAGTTATTATCATATTTGCAATGTACCTACAAAATTTCCTGTATCCCTAGAATTTAAATTTATATGTAGCGAGATAATGAGGGAGAATTTAGATAATAGAAATGATGAATATTCATTTAACCAAATTGTTATGTGTCCGCCGTGTATGTAAATTGTTTATTTTTCTTTAGGTAAAATGTTTTTTTTATGTCGTTCTGAAAAGAGGGTGCATACACATTCAGCCTCTTTTAAGACTTTTACTGTATTTACTGAACTATACTTTATGTGTTAATATATCTGATTTCAATAGGTACTTGTCATTCTATTTTATAACATTTAAATATCCTTTTCAAGAATGTATCTCAAAGAAAAAAAAATATTTCCTACTTAAATCATGAGTTTTAAACTCGTTTTATGAAAATTTTCAGTAAACTACAAAGTTATTTCAAAGAAATACCATATGTAGGTTTAACAAAAACATTTTGAAGAACAAATTAAAGGTTATTAAATCTAATATAATTTATTAAAGGAATCTAGGTTTAATAAACAAAATTTTTTATTGAAATTTAAGACAAGGGTGTATAAAACTTTTTTCTTTGATATATTTTTAATACGATTTACGATTGTGAGTCCTTCTGTGTATTGAAATACTAGCTTCTGCCCGCGGCTTCACTCGCGTGGTATGTTGATAAAGAGTATCCTATGTGTTAATTGAGGGTTTCACATTATCTGCATACCAAATTAAAACCAAATTGGACCGCCCGTTCATACATCCATTCATTCTCACTTCAAATTTATAATATAGCCGTTTCTTTCACATTTAAGTATAATATTAGTAGGGTAAGTAGTTTTAGTAGAACATAAAATAATAATTTATAGTAAAATACATTGACACGACACAACTAGTTTGTAGTGTAAAATTGTTATTTTCAACGAACACGGGCCAATTAGGATGAATGCATTTCCAAATAATAATATATGGATGACGAAAAAATTGTGAAGCGCAAAAAAATCCGCTGAAAAAGCATGAAATAACGATAAAACTATATTTGGAATGTAGTGTTGATGTTTTTAGTGCAGTTAGTAAGAGCTCAATCAACAGTGTGATAAAATAATATATTTACTTTTAGCAGTTTACATAAACCATCATATTCGTTCACGTTTATCCATTTATTTTGCATCTATCCATCAATTTTGAACCTTATTTCAAGTTTTATCACATCATCAGCCTCTAAGTTCCACTTCTGAGCAAAGGTCTCTTCTAACACGGAGAAGGTTTAATCAACACGCTCGCTCAAGGTGGATTGGCGATTTCAAACTTATAATTAGAAATTCTAAGTCCAGTTTCTTCACAGTATGTCAGTGGTATAAATAATAATCATAGAAAGTACAAATAACTCACAGAAAAAGTCACATTGGTACTTGCCAGGTATCGCACCCGCACCCTTGTGCATGCGAAAACGGCCTTAACCTCCGGGCCACCACCACACAAACATCAAGTTTTATAATCATTACCAAATCTGCTTAACATTTTAATTAAATTATTGCTTAAAATTAGTTTCATAAAAAATATATAAGTACCTACTAGCAGACCTAGCCACGCGTTGCTGTAGCTAAGGATCTTGTCATATTAAATATGGACAAATAATTTGCAATAAAATAATATTGTGACTATAAATTAAGATGTAAGCTATCATATCTTTCAAAATGGATCAAAATGCACACGGATTGCAATTTTAAAATCGGTTTAGCAGTTTACGAGTTCTTCGCGGACAAACATGTGACACGAATTTTTTATAAATAAAGATATTATAATATTAAATTTTGACGAGTAAAAGTGATGTTTTATGACCTACTTGCAAAAACAAATTCATTGTTTCATTGTTACAACGTGGATGCGTTTAGAAAACATTACAATGAAAAATCCTCATTCAGTTTCTTTCTTGTAATCAACGTGTTCCCCATTGCCAAGTCAAGTGAAATTATGCATGATTTTCCATTGTCCATTAACACAGGTCTTTTTGTAGTCTATTCCCCCATGTTTAATAGCTACACAAAAGACCAATACCCGTATTCAGCTATTGTTACCTTCTTCTATTCAAGATCTTCACATTATCCTGTACATCGCTCGCTAGTATTGAATGGGACGGCAGGAAAACTACGAACAAATGCTTTATAAATGATACTTATCGAATGTTCTTTTAATACGATACGGGAAATTGTTGAAATGTGAATCTTAATCATTTCTTTTACAGATTTATGAATGGTAATAAAATTGGCTTCGAAATTTGATAGTTGTGATAACAGTTTGAGTAATGGATATGAAATATATGTGTTTTGATTACAACATTCCGCTTTGCATTTATTACAGCGTTGTGTTTCACCGTGTAAATCTGAAGTTCAGAAGTCAGAAACTGAAGGCCTAATCTTTCCCCATCCTTCCTCAATCTTTAAGTCTCTTAGTCCCCAAAAGGCCGGCAATGAACTCGTAGCTCCTCTGGCGGTGCGGGTATCTAAAGGCGGCGCCGATTGGATTTCATTAGGTTATCCGCCTGCTCGTCTACCGAACTATGAAATAAAAAAAATATCTTTTAATTGTATTCCTCGTACTTATATCTACATATATATTGCTATGAGCACACACGTGCCTAAACTTTCCGTATACTAAACAAAATTCTAAATGTCAATTCCAAAATGTCCTATGTCAAAGTAAGTAGAAACTACAGTAGGACAGTTCATTCTATTTAGCTCGGTCCTCTCTCCAGTTAGGGGACACATGTGCAAATGATGTCATTGTTCTCTCTTTACTAAATTCCCTGGCATTGAGGAAAACAGGTTAAATGGTAATCTCTTGTAGCATTGTTTAGGGACATTCAAAGCTTTGATGTAAATCCCATTCATATTGTAAGTGGAAATAATTATAGCAGGGTTCTCTTGTATAGTTAATAGTGTAAAATGCGAGTATTTAATGGACAGTGGGAACTGTAGTTGTGGGTAATGTATTCACATGTATTCACAGTCTCTATTGATGAAAACTTTGGCGGTCTGTGGTTACCATAGTATTACAATTTTGGTAGTATATGTTTTGTGTGATGTTTCATGATTAAATGCTGATGGTTATGTACTGGAGAGTTCGTTTAACTTCCTATTCAGAGTTTTGCAATATGAATTTGGACTTATCAAACATTTTTTTTTATTAATTTTAGCCTCGCAATTAGGGCTTTGTTTGTAGGGAAAATCATCAAATGACTTCTCCCGCCCAGGGCCGGGCGGGAGGGATGTCAGACTCTTACTGACTAAAAACCCCCCTGTTCTTTCTCCTGCTCTGGGCCGAGGTCGCGGTGCCTCATTGCGCTTGCAATTAGAGCTGTGACTTCGATTATGTAACATTTCTTTCACAAAAGTAAACTTACATTATTCAAGTATTTTTTACCCATAAATGATGTCACTCAAAAACCTACCCTTGCAACAAACTATATTTATATTTACATTTCAAACCATAAGAAATACCTATTGATATACCCAAAAAATGTCACGAAAGTGTTAGTAGGGACATGGAACTAGATGTTGGAAGAGTACAATAAAGATGAGATGCTTGAAAAATGAGGGTTTGTCACCTGTTGCGAGCCGTGACACTGCAAAAGAACCCTCGTTATCCCATCACCAATTGCTATTTACAAATTGCAAATGAATATTGATGAGTTGGCTCGTTGTCAACACTCCTCTCAACATAATCTTGCTGTACCTACTCACTTCGCGACTACTCGAAATACTTTGTGTAACGTTTTGATATTTAATTGGTAATGGGATCGTAGCCAGACTTTTTTCCTTGAGTTTTTGTACTAAAATTGTGATTTTGATCGTTAATATCAGTCATTGCTAATCGTTTAGGCAATGGCAGTAATAGATCAAGTTTAGAAAAAGCTTATTAATATTTTCTGGTCATAAGTCCATGCTGTTACCTCTTCGTCCAAAGAGGTTTTATAGACAGGAATCAATCTACAGTAGAAATATTATTACTCAATCTTATTTAAACAGTTTCTCCACATAAAAGCTATATAAAACAAATGGCGGGAAATAATGTCCCTCCATCTTATTACTACCATTACGACCTGTTTTCCATTTTATTCGGGAAATATGAAATGTGGCAACATTTCCCGAGTATTGTCAAATTGACGCCTCGCTTACCGGACACAAAATGATAATGAGCAGTGCGGTTTATGTTAATACCAGTAAATGTCGTGCCTTAATTGCGTTTCTGTGTTGCCAGTGGAGAATTATGGGTAGTAAGTTCATCTTTATGAGTCTGTTGGACCAGGAGCAGGAGGACTGCTGGAAACATCTAATCGATGTTTTTTTTACTACAGACAGTAAAAATAAAGCTTACTGGCTGCCTAGTAGTGAATGGTTTCTGTAGCATACTTCCATAATTATAATAGCACATTATTGGTCAGCCTCGGTCTCGAGCACAACAAGGAATGGTGGTTTTTAGTCAAATAAGAGTCTGACACTCTCGCCCCGCTCATAGTGGAAGAAGCTATTACAAGGTTTTATTCCCTTAAAAAAGATGTCTTTATTGGAAATGATCCCTTGCTGTTTATAAAACAGTATAGACATGACCAAAGATATGCTCGGTATTTTTTTTTT